AGAAGAATGCTATAGGTTTCACCCCCTTACCACTATCTGTAAATTTGACTGAAAGTTATCAAAAGCTACAGTGCCAGTGGGGTTACTTGCTGGGAATCTAGATCTTGCATCAGAGCTGCGCTCAATTGGTTTAGATTAGTCTGGGACTATTTAAGGCACATCTGCAATCGGTGCCTAAGCACCATGTAATTAAAGATAGTGCTGGGTGTGCCCTAAAGGGCAGTATATTCTCTCTCTCCCTTGTTTTTGTTTTTTGCTCTCATCCTCCCCTGAAGTGTGTGGGGGTGGGAGAGGAGGGGATTAGTGGATTGTTGGGAGATACTACTACTGGAGGAAGGCATTATTAAAGAGATGGGTCTTTGCATTTAGACCAGTACATTGTTAGGGGCAGGTTCTGTCTAATCTCTTCTGGTAAGTTATTCCACAGTTCTACTTCATACACCCAAGAGTCTAGGGCCATGCGTATCTATGTGTATCACCCCCGTAAAGTATAGCCATCTTGGACTGTTGCGGTCTTGCTTTCTTGTAAATGGATAACTAACATGTAATGTGCTTTGGTCCCAGCCTGCTAAGTGTTTGATAGACAGGGCCGGTGCAACCACTAGGCGAACTAGGCGGTTGCCTAGGGCGCCAAGTGGTTGGGGGCAGCCAAAAGCGTGCTCCGGGGAGGCGGTGGAGCGGAGGTGAGCTGGGGCAGGGGGGTGCGGGGAGGGCCGCCTGCAGCAAGTAACGGGGCGGGGGAGGCAGCACCATGCTGCCCCAGCTCACCTCTGCTCCACCTCCTCCCCTGAGCATGCTGCCCCGCTCTGCTTCTCTCCCTCCCAGGCTTGCGGCACCAAACAGCTGATTGGCACTGCAAGCCTGGGAGGCGGGAGAACTGGAGTGGCAGCGGTGTGCTCAGGGAGGAGGCGGAGCAGAGGTGAGCTGGGGTGGGGAGTTGCTGCACGGCTCCCCGGACCAAGGGGAGGGAGGGAGTTGCCGCACAGCTCCCCAGGCCGAAGGCACGAAACATCCTTGTACCGGCCCTGTTGGTAGATCCAAACTGACTTGAAACTGAATCTGAAATAGACAAGCAGCCATGGAGTGAGCACTGTATTGGAGAGATTGTCACATCTGCCTTTGTCAGTTAGCAGACATGCTATTGGTGGAACTGGCACATGGCTTAGTGGTCTATACTCCCCTCTGAGTGCACCACAACATGTCAGGAGCTCCTCCAACTTCAGACTAGGCTCCCCATATCATCTGACAGCCCAAGCATGTGGCTGAAGTAGCTTATCCCCGTCTCTCTGGACTAACAGCCGCCTTCTGTTGCCAGTTAACGTAGCTAGTCCTGTAGCTTAAGTAATAAAAAGTTGTACTGAAGTACTGACTGTTCAAATCCCGCTGATATTGCGTGATGAGGGGAGGAGGTGATATTTGTCTGGTGGGGCACCACCCCCTAGGAAACTGCATACAAAAAACCTGTTAAAAGAACATTTATTTAAGTTGCAAAGTCAGGCACTAGAATGTCCGGACTTAAGACTGCCTGCAGAACATCAGTTCTGTCCCCTTGTGCATATGCATTATGATACAGTCTTTAATTATGTGATTTCATGCTTCCTTCCCCCCCCCACCCCCCGGACCTCCATCTCATCCAGTGCACAGACTGGACACACAAGGGGGCAAAGTTAAGACTTCATAAGCAACCATGAATGTGGCATTTCCTCACTCAAATGTTTGTGTAATAAAGCAATTTTGGAACGGGGTGGCTTTAGCCCAGGGGGATTCCCCTCATAAACCTCTGGGAGCTTGAATACCCCATTAGTCCGCTATGGGTGTAGTCGTAATTAAACACAAATGTTACTTTCCAGATCAGAGTTTTCAATTATTATTATTATGTATTATTAATAATTATTTATTAATAATATATTTTATTTATTCCTCTTTAACTTCTGATAGCACTGCTGAGCCAGTTTAGGTATAAAAAAGTATGAGCTGGTTTATTTTCAGGTTTATGTTTCAGCAACAGGACTCTGAACTACAGTAGACTCTAATTGTAGAATCTTTATTGCTGGAAATGAGGCACAAACCAGAGAGAAGAGAGCTTGATTTTTAGAATCCAGATTTCAGATGGAGTCTGCAGGCCTGGCAGTTACAAAAAAGTTTCTATTTGAAAATTGAGTACATTTTGTATGGCATCTTTGAGGCACAAACATATTTTTATAGTCCCTCTTCAGGGTATAAACAACACTTTCAGCTGAGTGTCCCACTTTTCAACAGTGGTTATTTTTAAAAGGATGAGTAAATCCCACATGTGGATGCTTAGATCAGTATCTACTGTTGGCATGTAAGTTTGAGTGTTACACCTATAAATGTTGATTTTTAGTGTCCAAATGCAGGACTTGGACAGCCTGTTAAGGAGCCCTTGTATGAACATTTGAGCTCAAAATAAACTTATTTTATACTAACATCAAATGAAATACCAAACCTGAAATATGGTTTGGTTTGCTCCCTCATCATAAGCACTAACCACAACTTGATTTTTTTTAACCAATAAGTGAAAGTTTTTCTATAGAAAATACCTTAACTAACTTAGTACCTGTATTGTTTTGTTGCTGTTAATACAATTCTGTAATATCATTGCTTCTCACTTTAATATGAGAAGCTTAAAGCACCACATATTAGAGCGAGTGCCATTTTAGCCCAATAACAAGGTTTTAATCAAGGCATTCAGCCATGCTCAATAGTCCTTTGCTTTTGAATTTGCATATCAGGAGGGGGCTGGGAGTCTGAGTGGGTGGACGTCATGTCCCAGTGATTAATGATCTCTAGGAAGCTAGAAAGGGGAGAGTAATATACGCAGTATTTCTACCCCCTGGAGTAGGAATGCAAACGCTATTGTGCAGATCTGTGCATAGTCACTGACTTCCTGGTAGCTGGAGAATTTCATACACTCCTCTACCACAAATAAAACTGTCAGTGAAGTGACAAAGATCAGAAAGCTGGGCTTCATTTATTGAAAAGAATAGCTCAGGCACAGTGATCCAGAAAATTAATTTTGTAGGTGTTTGGGAACTCAGTTGTTTAATAGGAAACCAGTAAAAAGGGGACTTTCTATGAAAAGGCTGAAGCCACCAAATATTTGTTGAATTGAGTTCTGTTTTGTTTCTTGCTGTATGAGTGGCTGGAAACTGGATACTTTTAGATTGCTTAAAAGAGAGAGCTGCTTTGAAGGAAAGTAAAATAATAGAAAGACTATCAAAATTTAGAGAGGGAGCTAATATTGTGGGGGAAAACGGTCATTTTTTTGCAACAAAAATACAATTTCTAATACAAATTCACAACAATATTATCTGCTTATTTGAAAGTTTTAGACAATAGACTTTTCACTAGAACCACAATATCAAGTAGCAAGATACTATGGAGATGGGGGGCAATAGTAATACCTAGCTAGATTTGTGTTTGTTTTTAACTTCAGTAGAGGCTTCTGAAAGCTTTGAGGACTCTGAGGCCAAGATTATTCACTACTTTTCAAGCACTGATATTTATGATTAGCAGGACTATAAGGGTACAACTACACAGCAAAAAAAACATCCTTGCATGGGCTGAGACTCAGTGTCCTACAGACTCGGGCTTGCGCTACAGCACAAAAAATATCCATGTAGACATTCCTACTCAGGCTCTGAAACTCCCCCTCTTCCCTCGGCTTCAGAGCCTGGGCGAGAACATCTGTACTACTATCTTTAGCGCCGTAGTGCAAGCCCCTTGAGCTCAAGTCTGTAGACCCAGACTCTGATACTCACTGCCATGGTTGTTTTTTGGCAGTGTAGTCTTCAGAGTCTGTGTTCTACAATATTTCTTAACTCTTTTCTAGATTTATCTGTTGTTAACTTTGCTAAACGCTGGTTAGTCGTCAGTAAATATGGAGAGGGTGCTTCTCTTTCAGCACCTACTATATAGCAATGTATTGGGGAAGTTTATAAATACAATCTAACTTTTATTGTTCTGTCAAAAGAGCAGAATAAGGCTCTCTGATTGAAAAGGTAAATAAACCAGACCATAAAGCAGAAATTCATGAAGTAAAACTCTGACGTGGTTTCCCATAACAAAAGGACCCTGTGGTATAGTTTCTTGAATTAAATAAATATTAGTCTGCATTAACTGACTTAAGTATGGTTTTAAAAATCAAGACACAGTCCAGTTCACTTGTATTGAATAGTACCTTCTGCCACAAGTAGTCTGCTTGAAGTCACTGGGGCTATTTATGAAGTAAGTTACTACTCAGCATGAGTAAGGGTATTGCAGTCTGACCCTCGCTGTTTTGGGGATTCTAAAACTATCACTTTTTAAAATCCAGCACTTGAGGAGATGAACTCCAGTTGGCTTTTTTTTTAAAAAAAAGCCTTAAATATCTCCCATACGTGAGAAGTCAAGTAAAGGTGCTGATATATGAACAGCATTTAAGACTTCCTCCCCTGCCTCTTCAAGGAGGATGAAATAACTGTTTTTAAAATATTCCGATAGTCATTATTGTAACTTTAAGTATTGTAAAGCTAAAACTTGTAAATTTCAAGGAAAAAGACATTTTATGTGACCTCCGGAAAACCAATGTGTGGGTTCCCCCTACTGGGTGCAGCATCAATAATGTAATAAACACAGTTCTTCTAGCTATGCATATACAGTACCTGCTGACATCAGGGGTGCTGAAGCAGCCAGAAGTAACGAAAAGCAGCTATATTTGCCTCTCCTCCTTTAGAAACACAACATGGGTAATCTTGTAAGAAATTAGAAAGAATAGAGAATTAAGAACTAATGTTAAGTATCTTAAATAAACTGTAGGTGTTTATGCATAGTTAGTATTCTGCTTTACATTTTCAGTTCCTTACACTGTCTATTTTTAAGCACATAAACAGTGTTGGTAATGGCATATACTTTTCAGTCAGTGTTAAAATTACTTATATGATTTGGGTACAGCATGTAATATGTTATCAAAGCACTAACTAGATAAAAATCTCTTTCAGTAATGCAATCAACCTTTTAAGCAATATTCCAGTTTCTTGTTTGGATGTTCTCATTAATCCATCAACCCAAGAAGAAACAGTTTTGAAATATAATGGTATGAATATGGATGCCATTCAAGTGTTGCTGGATTTCATGGAGAAAAGAATAGACAAGGTATGTGTGACACTGAAGGACTTCACAAAAGGAATGCCTCTTAGTAAGAGTAGAAACAAACTTGAATCAGAACTCCAGATCTCTACTCCAGAACTTTAAAACGTTAAGGGGTGAGAATGATGTGAAATTCAGTAATTTTGCAGGTCAGACTCATTCTGGAATTTGAAAGTTCATGTGATCATAATTATATTAATGTAGAATTCTTCATAAATTTATGAAAAATGTCAAGAGGCATGCGATGTAATAAAGAAAAACCCATTTCTCTCATTACATCAATATTAAAATAACAAGGAAAAGCAAAGCTAAGAAGAGAATTTTCCACTCAATCAAATAGAATTTATTTACCGATGATAAAACCATACTGATTTCCAACCCAGTTTCTAATGTGATGTTGATTCTGGATCCCTTGAATACAATAAAGTTTAAAACATGGTTGTGGTTATAAAAAGTGACAACTGTGTGTGGGCAGTAGATGGGAACATTTTGCCTCTTGTGGCTGAGATGTCGTCTTTTACTGACAACTTTTTATTTCTGTTAGCATTGCAGAGAATACCATCTATGTATAGAAAAGCAAGGTCAGCAAAACTTGATCAGGGCCGAGTTCAGCAGATAATTTAAATGTATACTTAAAATTTTCATCCAGTGCCCACTGGGTTTTGGATTAAGCCTAAATGCTTTACTGGACAAAATGTGTTGAAGTAATGTGAATCCAAAATCCAAAACACAAGGAGAATTGAAGGCTGAAACGTCACCATTAAATTGTGCACTGCACATAATGTTCAAAATACAAAGCAGTTGTAAATATTTTTATGACCTCCAAGGGAACTAAACTAGGTTGTCTTAAAAGCTAATTTTAGTCTGAAAATTTTCAGTTTATGTAACAGTCCCTTTGGAATTACTGAATGAATTCCGAAATTATGAATTTCGGGGAGGATTTTGGTAGTGTGTTTACATAATCATTTTTTTCAAATTGTGTATAGTAATGTATTTTCATGATGAGATATTCTGTGCAAAGATTTAATTTAGAGAGAAACTTTACGTAAGATTATTATAAACCCTTGAAAGAAAAGATTTTAATGGAAATGCTGTCCCTGCAGTGAGTGGTGAAACTAGTAACAGTTTATATGTTGGTGACATTTTTAAGAATTTTTGATTATACTGAGAAGGAAAAATCTGTCATTGCAGACATAAGAATTATTCTTTTCCACTTGACTGTATACTAAATTAGCCACATTAATTATTTATTGTAAAGTTTCAAGCAAAGCACACCCATACTGAATGCATATAATATATAAAATATAATCTTGTCTGACTCTTGTAATTCAGCCAGTGTTTGGTTTGTTTTTTTATAATTCCACTTTAGGGAAGCAGCTACAGAGAGGGTCTGACTCCAGTTCTCAGTTTACTAACAGAATGTTGTCGAGCTCATCGGAACATCAGGAAGTTTATCAAAGCTCAGGTAAGATTCAGATATAAATTTAGAAATCTGAAAATAAAATATGCAGCAGAATCTTTCAGGCTTCTACAGCACAGAGAACATTGATGTTTGAATATTAAGCAACTTGGATTTTAAAATTTCTCTTAAAGATGTCTACATCCGTAAGCAACTGCAGTGTCTTTGTTACCTTCTGTCAGCTCAATGACAAAAATATTGATCTACATTAAGTGTTTTCAGTGCAATGTCATGATTTGATTTCAAAGTAATATAAAGGGAATGAACATTAATGTCACCCTATAAATGCAGGACAATGACTTAAATTATTGTATCAGCAAATAAAAATCCAACAATAAAATATTTGACAAACTGAAGAACTTTAAATTCTCCTTCAAATTAAAAATACAAAATGTAAGACTTGGGATGTAACCACAAGGCACCTCTGTAATGTTAAAATATAGAGGGGAACTGGACAAATTGTTTCAGTTACAAGAAGATGCCATGGGTCCTTGGCTTAATTCAATTGCATGGGCCTAACTTCCATGGCTTATGCCAAGAGCCTTCAATTCAGCAACATTAGGGCGGAGTCTGAAGCTGTAGTGTATGAGATAGGAGGACTTTTTCAAAAAAACCTAATGGGACTTGCGTGTCTAAATCCATTAGTCACTTCTGCAAATTTGCCCCATAATTAATAAAATAGCACTACAACTGTATGGAAGCCAGTCAGTCCATCCGTGTTTTGGTACCCTTCAATTGAGCTTTAGTCATAAATTACAATACATCAGCAGAAATGAGTCAATGGTGTTGGAGCTTTAAGACTTAACTGCTGTGTGTAAATTGTATAACCAAGGTGAAATTCATACCTATGCAGAGGGCTAGCTCAAGGCTTGTGCACCATTTAAGCCCTTAAAATAGGTCTTAAGTGGAGCATGAGCTCCATGTTGGCCCTCTGCCTAGGGGTGAATTTCATCCCATGTTTAAAAAAGACTTCTGCAATTTTAACTATCTGCTAAAGTGCAATGGAAAAACTTTTCAAAATGCCCCCCTGCCAAGCAAGGAGGAAGCAGAATAGAAATTGAGTCCTAGCTTCATCACTGATTCTCAGTGTCTCCTGTGGCTACTCCTAGGATGATGCAGCTTCCAAATTACACCCTTCTCAGGGCTGTGCCTGAAATCATAGTCTAGCTCTTTGTTCTACCACATATCTTCTCTGCATCTTTTCTTCTTCCCTTTTTGTTGTTAGGGACCTTTAAATGAAAACCTGATCTTTTACTTTCAAGAAATCGGTACTTGCTGCATATTCCCCACCTGAACCCATATTCATACGACAGTCATTTCCCTATGAACATGTTTTGATTATTACACACACACTACATTAAACGTGCAGTACTGAGGTTGTGTCAAGCACTCAAAAGTTAGGAAATGCCAGAATTAAGATTGTCTTAATATGGCCCCCTCATGTGCATGTATTAGGATGCAATTTCTAATTTCATGATCATAATGCGTATGCCCAAAAGGGCCAAAAATAGCAAACTGAAAAAAACAAATTCTCTCATGTGGAATCCTATTGACACCCACATGGCTCGTCAGCAGGGTTGGAACCTTTGGATCCACTGTGCACATCTCTGCTACTTAAGCAAACAGAGTAACAAAGTTGTCATCCTTCATGTGGATCAGCACTAGAGGGGGATGAGACGCACATTTTACCATTGAGTTTCACAGATATTTGCTGATAGCAGAGGGATGGTGAGAATCAGGAATCTTGGATTCCATTCCAAGGTCTGGAAGAATGTTGGCTTGTTCTAGTGAGCACAAGCTCTTCTGCCCATTTCACCCTCAGCCCCATCCCCTCCAACCTTTTGTTGTCTGTGCTGTCTTCCCATTCCCTGACATCTTCTCCTAGTCCCATTTTCCTTGCCTTCCCAGTCCCTGTCTCCACTCCTCAGGCTTCTCAGCCCTGTCCCAGTCTCCTTTCTCAGCTCCTCATCCAATCAATCTCTCACTCTCTCTTCTCTGTCCCGCCCCCCCTCCACCTTACTGGCTCCCAGTTCTAGTCTCCCTCACTGATCTCCTCATCCAATCTCATTGTACCCCTTCTCTGGCTCTTCTTGGCAAGAAGACTATTGGAGACATAGGCTAGAGCCCTGATATTATTTGGGATAAAGGTGGCAGAAGGAGGAAACAAATGTATTCTAAGGCGGGTGTCTTGTTCAGTTGTCTGCGGAGGTCCCAGGAAACCCATGCAGCTAGCTGGGCTCTAGTCACCTTTGCAAGATAGGCTTTATATTGTAGATATCCTACTTATAAACTTGCAGCTGCTTTGCATGGGTGGGATTTTAAGCTTGTTCCATACATTATTTTCCAAGAAATCAAAGTTTGCAATGTTTTTCCTTTCCATGTACTGTATTAACTTCTGCCAGGAATGTATGGTTTTCACTTTTTCTTTTTGTAACACTAGGTATTGCCTCCATTAAGAGATGTATCAAATCGTCCTGAAGTTGGCACAACAGTGAGAAACAAACTTGTGCGCCTTATGACACATGTCGACCTTGGAGTAAAGCAAATTGCAGCAGAATTCCTTTTTGTCCTTTGTAAGGAGAGAGGTATAAATCAATTTTGTTCCTTTCCTTTTATTCTAATTACAGCAAGACTTTTGGAGGATCTTCTTATTTCTGTAACCCTCCCAATTCCAGATACGTCCTTTAGTTTAAAAGTACTGTTTGTGATACTGCTAAAATCATGCCTAATGTTTTTCATCATTAATCAAATATTAGATAATGGTTTCCATTTTCTATCTACATGTATATAGTTACTGTGCAATGGGACATTACATAGTGCTAACATCATAATTAATGTATACTGACAAAACTGAGCTTCATTTTTGGGGTCTGGCCACTCTAACTAAACAACAGTAATTGTAAATTATTGAAATTTTTTTATGCTACTTTACATATTTCCCCCCAGCTTCCCTCTTGCAGGTCATTTAGTTCAACACAGATCTTGCAACTGACTAATTGTTCTGTCTGCTTCCAGACAGCACATACACCTACCATGCTTCTGTGTAATATTAAATAGATTTTATTTCTACTCTTTAAATGAAATTAACACCTTTTAATGGCCAAGTTAATTCTGTGTTGGTGAAAGTGTGTCCTTCAAATATCTTCTTTAAAAAAGACTGAAAATAAAATTTTAATTGCCTTCCAGAGATCTGTGGCTTCAGTTAAGAACTGGAGTCCTAATTGACAAATAAGATTCTAGCCTTATTTATTTAGTATCAAAAATGTGCCGGGTGCTTCTGAGACAAACAGGAAGACAGCAGTCAATGCCTCAAAGATCTTACATTCTAAAGATGTAACATAATTTACTGGAAATAAATTGTGATCAGTTCAGACTAAATACCTTGATTATCCAAACTCTTTCCTGACACACATTTAATGGTTATCTTCCTTTTCAGTAATATACTTTATGAACTCTTCAAACCATAAAACATTGTTTTCAAAGTTTGATATCTAATGAAAAATCTAGTACCAATCCAGTAATAATGTTAAAGTATAACTGTACTTCCACAGCCTAGTCTATAGTACAGCAACCTACAGTAAAAAATTACTTTAAGGGCTTTTTTCATCATATAAAAAAATCATTTATAAATCTATCATTTCTTAATCTGATAAATGTACCCAAAATTACAAGCCAGGTGACTAGAATTTTCTGTTTGTCATGGAATTGATAGAGTGGCAGAACAAGCTTCTGCACACAGCCCTGCTGAGTGTCAGAATTATTTAGGTTGTCTGCCTTTTTCTATATTTGACCCCTCATCTAAGAATGCCAATGGCACCAGCTGTAGTAGTTCTGTCTGTAAACTGTCTGCTGTAGCTGTTCCATTCCCAAAACTCTCATTGACTTGAAGCAAAGTATCTTATTTCATTTCAATGGGAGTTCCATGTTCAGAGCAGCTACAAAACGGGTACCAGGATCTGGACTGAGCAAACCAATTCTTTTTTCTTACCACTAGGCCCCAAAATATTAATATGTAAATTACTTCTGATCACTACCAAGTTCGACTGGATTTCACCCCAGTGCAGAGGGAATGTGCAAGGTCCTTCATTAAACCTTGTACAAAGGGCTTAAGTGGGGGAGGAGAGGGCTCCTGTACTGGTGCAAATTTTACTATTTACCTATTTCAAGATATAGCCACGATCTTGGAGTTTCTGTTGCTAAGAGCATGCCAGCAATTGCTTTTATAGCTTAATTTCTTGTTTAATACCAGACTTGGGCATAAGCATGCTTGTGGAGTACCTTTGTAAGATGTAGGGACAATCACTTTTGTAATTCTGCATTCAGAGAAGGTGATTCTCAGAATTGCTGCTTGAAAAAAGAATTTTTTTGAACAACCATGCAAAGTCTAGGCCTTTGCCCTTGTAGAAGTGTCCTGCTTTTTCTCCTGGGAATATACTGTGGCATCTCGTGCTCTTTCCTTTTTTTTTTAATGCTCATTCTCCCTTAAGACCCTACCTTTTAGTGACCTTATTTTGAATACGGAAGGCTGAATGGACTCCATTAGGAGAACATCAGGATCTGTTCTATTGTATATTAGCCAAAGGGGTCACTGCATAGCAATGCAGCATAGTCCCCATAAGGGATGAGTAGACTGTATTTGCAGTTCTCCAAGCCCCTACTGGCCTGATATGCAAGAGAATGGATTTGGAAACTGGCTTCTTGTAAGTGCCCTACATTTCAAGTGATGATTCTGTGTTGATAAAGCTTAGAAACTGATTTTCTGTCTCCCACATCAAGTTCTCATTCTGCTAGTGTCACACACAGAGAATTTGTGGGTAAAAGTAACAATCTGCTGTAGGTTTAAAATACCACTTGTTTTTTTTTTAAAAAAAAAGAAAACAAGAAAACCCTTGTTTGTGCTTGGTGAAAAATGCTTTGTGCCATGTGGTCTTTCTTTCAGATGGCTGTACTGAGAAAAGTGACTGACTGTTGTTTTTTTTCTCCTATACTGGCTGCATAAATTATGTGGGTTTTTTCCCCTTCTAACAATGGCCAGCTTTAATACTACAGAAGGAGAGGCTAAACTCTTCTTCTCTAACTAATAGGATGGCCTTTTTCCAGAACATTAAGCATGATACGTTCTGCGATTGCTGGACTATGTACTCTGTAAATAGTATATGCATGGTGCTGTGTACCAGAAACATTTTTTTTTTTCAAGAAAGTGTTATCCTTTCACTGTCACTTACCTATACTATCCATAGTTTGAGAAGCATTGAAGCCAAATCCTCACTGGACTATTCCCACTGAAGTCACTGGGATTAGGGTATGTCAATTGAGCAGAATTTTGCCCATAACTGTGAACCTCAGATTAAAAAGAAACCACATTTCTCAAGGAAGATAATCATTTTCAAAAAATAATTTCCACATCACATGGAAATACGTGAAAGTTTCAAGCAATAATAATGAAAACAAAATTCAAAAACATGAAATTTTGTCAATGCTACCAACCAAGAATTTTCTAATTAGCTGCCATAAATAACAGTAGCACAAATATAAACAATGAAGAGCACTTTGTCTGTGAAGATGGGGGTTGGGAGGGTGGAAGGATGGATGGATGGATGGAAAACAGAAAGTTGACCAAATATGAAAGGATTCAGTGAACTTTCTAGATCATTTAGGAAAATGTTGCCAGTAAGTTGCATCTTTGGTCAGTGGATGTTAAAAAAATTATTTTATTCTTTGGGTTTGCATAGAAAATAAAACAAGCTGTTCTAATAGTGGCTGCAGTAGTAATACTTAGCATTTACAGTCAAGATTTCCACACGAAAGCTCATGCTCAAATAAATTGGTTAGTCTCTAAGGTGCCACAAGTCCTCCTTTTCTTTTTGCGAATACAGACTACCACGGCTGTTACTCTGAAACCTAAAGAAGTTAGGTGACTCAATCCCGTTGCTTTTCAGTGGGAGTTGGGAACCTAACACTCTTAAGCACTTTTTGAAAATCCCAGCCTACGTTATTTATCAAACCAAATAAAGCCCTCTTTTTGGGGGAGGGAAAGCACTTCACATGAGCCACAAAAAGAGCAGAGTTTAGAGCCAGGATTAGAATTTCGGGAGTTCCTGGGTCCCAATCCTGATTCATACCACTGAACCCCACCTTCCTGTCAAGAGTTCAAATACACACTTTCACTTATCACAGCTTTTCAGCCTCCTGAAAATACAAAATGATATAAAACAGGCAAACTTAAATTTGCCATGTTTATGGCTTATTAAAAAATCAAAAGCGACTGACTGCGGGACTGAATTAAAATGTAGTACCTCACTTCTGCCTTTTTCAGCTATTTCATAGGGCATACTGGTCACCATATAAATAAGTTAGATTTTAAAACCCATTTTAAAGATGATGCTAATGTTGCACTTTGTACTGTAATTAAATTAACTTCTAGCTGAATAAATTGATCTTTGTCTCTTTGTAGTTGACAACTTGTTAAAGTATACAGGCTATGGTAATGCAGCAGGCCTGCTGGCAGCAAGGGGCCTGTTAGCAGGAGGAAGGGGAGATCATTGGTACTCGGATGATGAAGATACAGACACTGAAGAATATAAATCTGCAAAGCCAAAGTACAGTACTATTTTTTTTTCTTCCTGTTACTACCACCCAGTCCACTGTGTTTTGAGTTAGTTTCCTCCTCTCTGCCCTTTGTCAAAGGGGTCCATCATAGCTTACAACTTTGGAGTTGTGTGTATTTACATGGACTGTTGTTTTTCACAGACTTTATAAAGGTTTTCAGTGTTGTTCTGATCTAGTGTTTCTGGGGTTCAAGTGTAACTTCGTCTTTGTTATTCATCCTTGAATGTTGCCTCCATAATTTCATCAATTGCAATGAATTTGATAAGTGATAGAGAACTGCCTAGCTCTAGGCTGGGATGTTTCCATATTAACCAGTTTTAGATATATGATGGGTAGGGCCCTACCAAATTCATGGTTCACTCTGGTCAATTTCACAGCCACAGGGTCTTAAAATTGGTCAGTTTCAGATATTTACACCTGAAATTTCAGGGTGTTGTAACTGTGAGGGTCCTGATCCAAAATTGGATCATTGTGGGGGGGTGTGTGTGTCCTAAAGCTGTTGTGTGGGGGTTGTAGGATTGCCATACTCACTTCTGGGCTGCGGAGTTTCCTGCAGCTGGAGGAGGCTCCCAGAGCTGGAGGTAGGTCCGATCCCCCAGTGCTGCTGGGAGTGGCCCAACAAAGGGTTCCTAGCTGCTAGTCAGGGCCAGTGGTGGATTAATGCATGGGCCCATGGGGCCTGTGCCCGGGGGCCCCCCACAATTTGAAAAATGGGTGCCCCAGCCCTGGCAGGAGCCATGGGGTGGAAGCCCTGAGCCACAGGGGAGTGGGGGTGGCAGCCCCAAGGCCTGGCAGGAGCCATCAGGGACAACAGCCCTGAGCCCCAGGGGGCGGCTGCCCTGAGCCTGGGCAGGAGCTACAGGGGGTGGAAGCCCCAAGTCCCGGTTGGAGCCCGGGCACTTCCCTGCAGGAGCTACCGGGGGGAGCGGAAGGGGAGCGGCAGCCCTGGAGCTCGGGCATCCTGAGCCCCAGCAGGAGCCAGACGGGAGAGGGAGCAAAATTCCCAGAGCTTGGATGCCCTGAGCCCTGGTAGTAGCCATATGTAGGCGGGGGTGGAAGTGCCAGAACGAGGGTGCCCTGAGCCCAGGCTGTGGGGCACAGCAGGCCCCAGCCCAAGCGCCCCGAGCCCTGGCAAAAGCTTCAGGGGGTGGCAGTCTGGAACCCACCCCTGAGGCTGCTGCAGCGCACCACGCTCACTCCTGCATTGTCTGTGGAGGTGGATCTGGTTCTTTCCCTGCATGGCTGTTATATAGAAAAATAAGTCCTGTCCCTTCCCAGCACGGTTGATTTTGGGTAGATGAGATTTCACAGGGCAGGGCTTATTTCACAGTCCGTGAATGTTTTTCATGGCCGTGAAATTAGTAGAGCCCTAGTGATGGGATACTATCAGTAGGCATAGTTATTTCAAATGCCCATTGTAGTGCTTGAGTAGGGTTTACTTGTTATATGGCTTTGCTCTGCCTTGCTTGAAGCTACTAATCTTCTCAATGGAAGAAAGATACAAATATATGTAGGGTTATTTGATTTTAGTTTCAGACTCTCTCAAAGACACATGTTAAAAAATGTGCAGATTCAGGCCTCTCTTGGCCCTCCTCTTGGAAAATCTCCTGGAGTTCAGTAGGTTACAGCAACAATTTTTTCCCCCCTAAAGCAACATATACCACGAAGAGAAGAAAAGAGACGGAAGACTTCAATCTCCCTATAGTTTGGGGACATCTTCCTCTTGGTCTCTTTGTCAAGAACCTGACCTGAAAACAGTCCTGTCATCTCCAGATAATAAATGATGGGCATCTTGAATGTAAAAGATGTTTGTGAGCATGTAGTCTGGGATTTGCCATTTTGTTTATGTGAAAAGGTCTTAAATGTGACTTCCTCTACTACTTTTATTTTTATTTTATTGAATATTATTTTTCATTTCATTTTTGGAAGTGTGATTCTGCTCTGAAAAGTCATACTTTTTTTTTTAAAGCTGTGGTGTCCAGTCACAAAACACAGATTTCCATATCCAATTGACTCTCAGTTTACAAGTAAAAAATGCGTGGGAGAAGGGGGTTCCTAACAGCCAGTACTGTAAATTCAGCCTCTGATCTTAGTAAAGCTTGGTTCAGTAAAAATGAGTGTGAGAAGGAAATAAAGGAAGTGGTGATGCCATTTTAAGGTACCCCACCATCACTTTGTTGTTTTTTTTTGGGGGGGGGGGAGGATAAAGTGCACCATCAGAACTGGGCCATATGTGCCAAAAGTAATAGTTCCAGAAAATTTAACTCAAAATGCCTACCTTGAATAGAATTCCTCTTTTGAGTCTTGACCCATAGGCATAATGAGTACTCGTGAAACTTGGGTATTTGAGCACTTAACATGGGGCTAATATAATAAAAAATTAAAAAGCCAACAATATGGAGGAAGGCCATCCATGAAAAGAACTGCAGAATTCTACTTGCAATTCTGTCTGAAGGAGTTAAACCATTTTATAATGCTACCAGGGAGCATTAACTTTTAAAACAGTTATCTGTCAAAATTGAAAAAGAGAAATTTTGTTGGCAAATGTAAAGATGTAAATGCTACAGCCATCTTTTTTTTCTTTTCTTTTTTTCCCCCCATCACAGCATTAATCTTATCACTGGCCATGTAGAGGAGCCAATGCCCAACCCTATGGATGAAATGACAGAAGAACAAAAAGAATATGAAGCCATGAAACTTGTCAACATGTTTGATAAACTTTCCAGGTAATGTAACACTATCCAAAATACTACAACCAAACAAAAAAAGTGGATGTTTTTAATCATAGCTCCTCTTAAGAGAGAGGTTTAGGCCCCAGTTCTTCACTCTATCAGAGGTGTGTATTCATGTCGGTGGGACAATTTGCTTGCTTTTTAGTTATCCACATGCTTAAGTGTTCGGTTTTTTCCCTCGTTTTGGCTACTTTCACTGGACAGGAAAATGATGCTTACACTTGGACAGATAGCAAGAACTTGTATTTAACACTGTTCCATCTAACTCTATGTAAACTGTAATGTGTATGGGACCTTTGGAAACGGTTGGTTCCCTGCGCCAAAGCAAAGGAGCCAGGGTGGAGAGACAGGTGCACATTGAGTTGCTTCAGAAATCTGGTTTAAAACATTGCGCAACATAATAAAACACCCTGAAAAACCAAGAGTCTCTAAAAACCTACTTGCTTTTTGACAGGTTTGCTGTGTTTTCCAGTCTCACTGCTGTTACTTTTAAGTAGCAGTGATTGTAGACAGTGTCTTTTTCTTGATAGTAGTGTGGGTGTGCTGCTCTCACTTCCTGACCTTGGAGGGGAGAGCAAGAGTCGGGGACAGAATGGCAGGGACTGTGTTCAGAACAGATTAGGAGGAAGCTGCTGTGACTAACAGAAGCAATCAAAGGTTGTGTAGAGAAAGCAGTAGTGGGAGGGTTGGGGAGTGTATGGACAGAACATAAGAGACTGTCACATTATGGAATGAATAGGGGTGGAGAAAAGGTGGGGAGTATACAGTGTTTGGGGAGTAAAATACACCAATGACTAAGGATCAAGATGAGACGCAGCAGTGGAAGACACCGTAAGGCACTAGGTGGCTTGGCAGACTGCTAATGACAAAATTTATTATTTCTAAGTTGCTGGATAAAATCTAGCCCCGGTCACACAAGTAGTGAATAAAAGTTGTTACCATCTGTAGTCTATTGGATGGCCTGTGGGAAATGAATTTATATTAACAGGTTTACAAACTGAAACACAAATGGAAAAAGTGGCTTAGATTTACACTGCTGTGAGTAAGCCTGAGAGTTTGCAGCTGTGATTTGCTGTAGTCCAAATGAGGATAAATTGAACTTCAATCTGTATAAGGATAATAGCATAAAAGAAAATGGTATTAAAATATAAATTAATGCAGAAGAATTGAGTTGATTTAACATATTGGCTCTCTTTACCAAGAGAGAACAGATCTATTTTAGTGATTATAACTATCTGCACCCTTGACTTAATATTTAGGAATTGGTGCATCATCCTTGGATGTCTCAGAAACAGTTTCTTCCTCCACTTCCACTGCATGTGAATATTGGAGCAACTCTTTATCTAATATAAACAAACAAGTATGGAGTTCTCAAGTACCAGTTCATACCTAATATAACACTGATTATGTTTATTAGTGGCTTGGGCCATAGGAGTTTGATTCACCTAAAAATATTTAATGGCGCTATTCTCAAATGCATAAAAGCCCCAGTCCTAAAAACACTTATGCACATCAAACCCATTGAATTCAGTGGGATTGCTGTCATGTATAAAATATTCGCATTTGCAGGACTGGAGCCAAAGTTCATAAAGGCACAGAATCTAAGTATTTCTAGGAAATTTAAACTACAAAGCTATCTGATAGGCGATATATGGTTTGCTGCATACATCTTCATAGATCTTTTTATTTAAGAATAACTTTTTCAAATGGTCAAGAACGCAATGAGAGATTAGGGTTGCCAGGCGTCTGGTTTTCAACCAAAACGCCCTGTCGAAAAGGGACCGTGGCGGCTCCAGTCAGCAGTGCTGAATGGGCTGTTAATACTGTGGTCAGCAGCACAGCGAGGCTAAGGCAGGCTCCCTAGCTGCCCTGGCTTTCCATGGCTCCCAGAAGTGGCAACATGTCTCCCCTCTGGCCCCTAGGCTGGGGACTCTGCGTGCTGCCCCTGCCCCAGCTCCCATTGGCCGGGAACCAGGGGGCCATACCTCAGGCAGCTCCCAGAAGCAGTGGAAAACACTGCCTGGAGCCTGCACCCTAGCCCCCTCATGCACCCCAATGCCCTCCCAGAGCCTCCTTCCGCACTCCAAACCCCTTGGCCCTGGCCTCACCCAAGACCCCACACCTCCAGCCAGAGCCTGCACCCTCTCCCGCACCCCTGCCCCAGCCCTGAGCCACTTCCCATACTCCAAACCCCTCGGCCCTAGCCCGGAGCCCCCTTCCCTGGCCCCACCCCAGCAAGAGCCTGTACCCCAGCTGGAGCCCTCTCCCCCTCCTGCACTCAAACCCCCTCCCCCAGCCTGGTGAAAATGAGAGTGAGAGAGGGTGGGAGAGAGCGAGCAATGGAGGAAGGGGGGATGGAGTGAGTGGGGGGCAGCGCCGTGGGGCGGGGGGCAGGGCAAGGGTGTTTGATTTTCTGCAATCAGAAAGTGTGCCATGCTAAGAGAGAGGATGGCAACATTGGATTTGGTATTAACAAATACACTTAATTAAATCAGATGTGAAGGAAGGGAAAAATTGAGGTGCATCAGTCTGGAAATACCAGTGCAGTAACTGAATAATTGTTTCCCACATCTGTTTGTATTAAAAAGACGCATTTGTCTATCATCAAAAAATAGTAAAATATGTACAAGCGATGACCACAAGTAAATAGCTAACTTTAATAGAATTACATGTGCAACAGTGAGGGAAAATCAGTGAATAGGATAGAGCATTAAGATAAAGAGGGGTAGTAAAAAGAGAGGTCATTTTAAGGAACATCATAATAACCCTACCTATTGTCCGAAACTTAAAAGGGAAACTTTGTACTGGAGATGAGAAATTATTTAAGACTGAAGGCTTTTGAGTTGCTATCATTATAGCTGTTCAAAAATACATTTAGATAAAATGCGAATGACATTACTGTGATGAAAGAGCCTTCTCAATTCACAGGGTTGGAGGCACCTGCCATGATGCCTACAAAAAGCGTAACAGTGGTTAGGTAGCTGGGCGTTGTCTGCGCTGCTTATGCTGTTGACCAATATCCTCTCGCTGTTACCTTGTGCTTCCCTCTGTCTGTCGTATCTACTTGTTGTCTCCTGTTCATTACTACCGGGAGATCAACACTTCTGCAATTGATGCAGCAGGTGTCGATTTAGCGGGTCTAGTGAAGCGTCTCCTGTCAACACGGTGCAGTGAAGACACCGTGGTAAGTCATCCTAAGCTACGTCAACTCAGTAGCATAACTAAGCTCGACTTACCCCCATAGTGTAGACAAGGCCTTAGATTGTAACCTCTTCAGGGCAGGAACTGTTTTGATGTGTTTGTACAGTGCCCACTGCAAGAGGTCCTGAGTCATGATTTGACCCCCTGGGCACTGCTGTAAAACAAATTAAAAAAAAATCACTTCCCTTTTTTTTATTTATTGTAAATAAAAAAAGAAGAGAGAACTAAAAGAAATGAAGCTTGTTTACAGGAGACTGGAGTGTTTTTTAACCAAATGTAACTTACTGCAGTTGGTCAGTTTGTAGAGAGATTAAATGGAAACCAGAAGCTGCCAGTCTTGCATTCAAGAAGAGGAACTAATTTTAACAGGATTTGGATTTTCTCCTTTTTATTTGGAACTGCACATATGTGCCAGCACTCTGAGCCTTTCAGTGCAGAGACTTTTTTCATAAAGTTAACGCTACCAGTTGACTACAGTGGGTCCCTAGTATACGTCTTCCCCCTTATCCATTGTTTCATATATCTGTTGCTCATCAATAGAAGAACGTGTTCCGATTCACATCTGTCCCGATTTGCATATCTGTCCTTTGAAGTACTGTACTGGGAGTTGCAAACGACAGATTTGCTCACCAACATGAAGCGGAACACGTTCCCCTATTGATGGGCGACGGATATGCAACAGATATGGGTAGCCCCACTTAATGGCCAGGCCCACCCCCCCCACCCCAGTTCCAACTCTGCTCCCATCCCAGCGCTTGCCCCACCTGGCGCTCCAGCCACGGAGCGGGGGTCGGGGGCTTGCCCGGCGCTCCAGCCACAGAGCCCCAGATGGGCAGAGCAGGGCGAGCCCCAAGCGCACGGGGGGAGCAGGGGAGCACATTTTTCCAGGCGCTCCTGGCCAGAGTGTCTATTGCACCCCATACTGCAAGGCCAAGTGGAGGGGTGGAGAGGCTGCTCCTACCCCTCTGCCTCCCGTCATTGCCCGCCCACCCAAGTGTCCCCTCCTGCCTACGCCACTGCTGTACGAGCGGGTCCCCGGTATATGTCATTTCGGTATCCATGGCCCTTTTCAAGAACACAACCCTGACGTATACCAGGGACCCACTCTAATGTTTTTGCAGTTGTTTGTAAGTTACAAATTAAACTGAAAGCTGCTTTGCTACAATTCTTGAAAATTAATCAGAAGTTTTATAAAGTCTAATATTCTTCTATGCTGGAATTACACGTCTAGGACCACAATCTCTTAGCTTCTTTGTTTCTTGGTTCTGAAGCTCATGGCCTTGAAGCCGATCACTAATGGCAGGTGTACTTCCTTCTAGATAGACTTGCTAATTCTGTTGTCACTATAGGAAGTAACACATAAGGAAGCTGGCTGTGGAAATATTGCCATACTAAAAAGTTATAAGTAATCGAAAGTAGCAGAAATGCTACTGCAATCTTAATGTCCATTGCATTTCTCTTCTCTGCTAGAGTGTTAATCGCTTTAAAGATGCCAATAAATGATTATCACGTTCTTCCAGCACCAGCATGCTTTTCATCATTTAGGGGGAGGGTTTTTTTAAAAGGGAAAGAAATTGAACAGGAAAACGTGGGGTGGGGCATGTAACCTTATGGCATGTAACCCTTTAAGAACTAGCATTCTCACAGTAAAGAAAAATATAAAGGATTGATAAGTCCCTGACTGACTGAAAATGGCAAAATCATCCCATCTGATTACAGACCTTTCTAGATCTGATTTTATTTATTGTTTTTAAAATGCGTTCTCTGACCGATTGCACTCCTAGGAAATAAAAACATGGCACCATTTTTTAAAAGGGCACAAACTTTCACAAGCAGTCATGTGTTTGGACACACATGTTGTGAGCTGTGAAGCTGTCCATTTTTTGATTACTTTAGTATTTGTAGTGTATTAATATTGAAGAGTGCCTGTTGTAGGAGATAATTGCATACAACAAGGAAATATCTGAAACCATTTTATGGCATTTTGTAACACTAAATGATAAGCATGATGGAGCTGGAAGGAGGTGATAAGGATTTATTGGCATCTTTAAAGTTATTAACCCTCTAGGAGAGAGAAATGCAATGGATATTAGACTATAGGTAAGGTTGCAATGGCATATCTGCTATTTTCAGTTACTTATAATTTTTCAGTATGGCAGTTGTGCTTGAATGAATCTTTTGATGCTAACGCTGATCTAAGTTGATTTTGTGAGAACGAATTATTATTGCCAAGTTTGGGTAGAAAATTAATTCATCCAGTTTTATTGCATATAAATATAGGTAGTGTGAAGGGGAGGAGTGAATATACATGTTTGTGATGTTTCAGACTCTTTTGCACATAACTGAAAAACTGCTTTGTACAGGCTGAGGCTTTTTAAAAGTATTGAGGTTTTTATGGTTAAACTGCAGTTTTTACAAATGAAGTGTTATCTGGAGTTTTGTAATCCACAAAAAGGGAAAGTGGCATACAGAATGTGAACTCATTACTCGTCAGAAGTCAGGATACATACAAGGATAGCATCCATAAAATACATAGGAATGAAGTATTTAAAAAAAAAATCTGATATAACCATAACAGCCTATCCTAAACATAAATCATCTTTTGATTTTTAAATAAGTGTGTTGGTCTTGGTTTTATAAAAGCTCTCTGTTCCGTTCACAGTAACTAAACTTTGGTACAAATTTAGCCTGACAAGGATGCTTTCCTGTTGCTGTTGTTGTAATATATGTATTTCTAATAATTTTAAATGCAAGGGAAAAGGAAGACCTTGAAATCTCTACAGCACTCGGGAACTTTCAACACTACTTGGGCAAGGTGTTGGATAGGGTGTTGGGTGGCTGGAGTTAGCCCTGAATTTGTTTCAAATAAAACCTGTTTGTAAGTAAGTAGTATAACTCATCTTGTTATAGCAATGAGAATTGTTGGGTGCGAATCAGTTTGCTCTCCATAGTAAGTCGTATGATTGAGCTTCCAAAACCTTCTCCAATCTGTACAAAAAGATTTAACATAACCTTTCGGAGTTGCAAAGGACTAAATTTAGCCACATTAAATCACTATTGTGCAATTTTCCATCTGTTTATATCCAACAGTATTGGAAATATTCCATGCTAATTAAAATGTCTGATAAATATACTAACACTTTCTCCATTATAAATTATGGGAGAATTATATATTAATTGACTAATTTAAAATGTAAGGGTGCTTTTTCCAAGCCAACCTTGTATTAATAGCAGGAATTCTTTTGCTGATGGAAATGGTCCCCAATTATCACAGCTTGGGTTTTGTTGTACATTGAACAGAAGTCAACAAAACAAGTATGTAACAGAACCTGCCTAAATAGCAGCCACATTCATTAAAAACACAGCATTAATCAGGGGGTGAATGAAGAAGGTAATGGTGTATAGATTCCCCCCCCCCCTCCTTTTCTAATCATAGAACAAAATAATGTTATATGAAAGGATTGGAACTATTATGTAGTACTCAATTATAGGGAGGTGAATAGGTCCCAAACATGCCATGTTATCAAAGGAGCAGACTGGTGTTTGCATGACAGTTGTTTCGTTACAGACACTGTCATTAATTCCATGTGTCAATACTGCCCTGTCATACACAGAGCAGACAAGAAATAAGTACCCTTGAAAACAAGGGAATGATTTTTTGAATCGTTATTAAGCTAAGTGGCAAGCAGGAAGCTGAAACTTGTATAGGTAAATTTGAAGGGACACTTGGGAGATCTGCAAGTGGAGAAAAGAATGCATTTTACCAGCTGCTTAATTAGGGTGTGTTTTCTACTTGTATACTTGAATAGAATGCTTTGTTTGTGTTAGGAATATGTGTAGTGCAGCCAAGAGTCTTTGATCTTGTTAGGGGTTACAAGGATGTTCATACACACTTAAACAAATTTTATTAATATGTACATTCATATATTTGCATTTATAATATATATTCAATTGATACAGCAAAATTCATACTGCCACCCACTGCATGTGGGAAGTAAGATCTCTTTCCTATAATGTGGAGTGATCACACTTCACAGCTGTGATAGCATAGATGTGAAATTATTTTCTTGGACGTGTGTGCATTTGTCAGGAGAACCCCAAGATGACTTTTACCTTACTTTAAACAAAAGGGTGCAGGTCCTCAACTGGCATAAATTGTCATAGCTCCATTGAGGTCTCTAAGCAATCAGTGCTAAATTGGTGACCTCCATGGACCTATGACAGTTTACACAAGCTGAGGATCTGCATGAGGATTGTTGTATGCAAATGTCAAAGTCGGCTTTATTTCAATTGGTGGAGTTACTCCTCTTGCAAACCTACCCAACGAGTTCTGTTTTGAGTAATGTACTCATTCCAGACTCATTGTTAGCTTTGTGGCATCCCAAACATCACATATTTTGTTTGCTAATTATTCTCTTTACTTTTAGTCCTTTTTTTCCTCTCCCTTCTCATTTTACCCTTTTGAAGTACACAAGTTACTGTGGGGTGGTTTGGAACTTTGGATGGTCAGGAGAGGCCTAGAACCCATACTGCCAAAGTGAGAAGGGGAGGAAGAATCAGTCCTAGTCCATGGCTAGTTATCTCTCCTCCATGAAGAGAATAGCCAGTGGAAGTACATAATTGCACATTCCCGCCCCCTGCCAGCTCCCCCTGGAGACTCAGATGTGTAAGGAAGCCATACTGTCACTGGTCTGCATGCAAGGGTTGCAGACCTCTTGCACAAATACCTAGAAGTCTGCCCAGCCCAGCTTGCAAAACCACACTGGTTTCCTTGAGTTCAAGGTGTCTCAAGCCACATAGTGCAGCAAATACATTTTTCTAAAATGCCAGAGGAGAAAGCACTCTGAGTTTGTGTCTGGTGCAAATAATGACTGTGATTTGAGTGCCTCACTTATGCAAATAGCTTCCCTTTCTCTATTGAGAGAGATGAGACTCTTCAAAACTAGTGTTTCTGGTATCTTGTTTGAGCATTGGTCATCTTTATAATATCTGACTTATTGTTCATACCCTGCAACTAGCATGTTGCTTTTCTAGCTGCTTCTGTAACAGTCATCATTGGAAGGAGGGATTGTTGACTCTCTGTACAAAGCCCTTCTCATTTGTCCTAAAGAGAGAGTGAGGAGCAGGCAGAATGTTGCCGGAAATAAAGCTTTTCCCCACTGAGAGTAACTAAATCCTGCTCTTTAACTTATGGCTGTCTTTGGGAACAACAAACAAGTTTCAAGGGATTCCCTTTCAAATTGGAGGCAAATTAGGGTCCAGCATCCACACCATTTAGATGAAATCATGAAAATTAAAAATAAGGGCTTTTTAATGGAAAATTAAAATGTTATCTTTGACCTTACAGCCTTTTCCATAATCCACATATAATAAATGAGGTGATAAAATGTGAGGATTAAATAAATCTTTGCTAATACTTTTTGATTGGCTTAATCAATAATTAATCATCTTTAGATGAGGCTGTGGCTTGTGGAGTAGATATAATTGGATTAGCTGTGGAGAGGCCTTTGGAGCTTTGAAGAGATTAAAATGACTGTCAATCCTGTAATTAAACTGCTACAAACAAAAGCAATAGTAAAAAAAAAAAAAAAAAAAAAAAGCTGACTTTCAAAATGAATCAACAAGTACTTAAGCACCACTAGAGGTTGTGTAGGCAGAATGTGTTCTCCTGAATGATTTATTTCACCGAATGAGATAATATGTATCAAATCGTCTCTTTTAATTGTGTGTTGCCCAGAATGGCAGGTGAAACTTTGGCAACCTTTTCTTCTTAAAGAATTCACAGAAGAAAAGCTAGTGTATGTATTTAAAACAGTGAACCTGCTCCTTGTGGTGAGTCTGTCAGGCATTGACTTTTCCTGTATCTTTTAATTGGCTTAATAGGTTGGCCTACATGAATGAAGTCTTTATCTGTCCTCCCCACCCCCGTTTTGGATTTGTTTTGTTCCCCTTTCTTATTCAAAATGGAGATCTTCATTAAAACGTTATTTTAAAGACTATAAAAATATAGTTTGTGTGTATATCTCTATATATAATAAAACAGTGGATTGATGCATGTGTGCATATGCTAATTAAGACTTTTAAAAAATCTTACAGGGATGAGGTTATAAAACCAATGGGAGTTCGACCAGATGGCACGATGACTCCTTTGGAAGAGACAATCTGCCAGTACCAAACCAATGAGCAAGACAGTTCAGATTCAGACTAAAGCATCACCTGCTTCTGTCAATATCTCCTTTAATCAGCATCTTCCCTCAGAGCCTCGACATCTTTTATCTACACATTCTACCCTCTCATTAGCCAGCATCACTTTAAGTCTTATTATTGGGATATTTGAATGATGGATCTTGTGGTGTAATCTCTGCATTTTTATTAATCCATTTATATAGGAACAAATTATCAGTTTATTAATTGTAAAGCAAATTGTATTTCAGTGAGATGAAAATAAAAGATTGCAATGCAAAAAAAGTAAATATTTATTATAACTTGCTAGATTCTTCTCTCCCATTTCTCCCATTTTCCTGTTGTTGTTGGTTGTTGTTTACAGTGTCTTACCCCAGCCCCGTCCCAAAATACAATTTCAGCTGAAGAAGCAGAATGACTTAATTGCCCTAGGAATAAAGGATGTTAAATGTGACATGACTGACCTAGTCAAGCCATCAGTTTGCTTACACGGTTTCTCAATGTTTCTACAACCACTTTAGAAGAACAACATGTTAACCATCAAATTTGATCTCCCCATTCGTTACCATGGTTAACCGATCTGTTTCAAAATTTACCCTCTGTCAGTCAGCTACCGCTTAATCTACTTTTATTTTATTTTTTTTAAATAAGCTGTATTTGGTTGTTCTCTGAATTGGGGCCACAGAAGTAAAGCCCAGCAAGCCTATACTATTTATGGCCTTGATCATGGGTGGTGAATTGTATGAGCCTGTGGTGCCCAGGCTCCACCAATATGAGAGCACGGGGGCCCGGATCCACCAGAGTTAGGGGCTGGGTCTCTCCCCTGGCCTCGCCTGCTGCCCCCGCTTGCCTCCCATGGATCATCCCCTGCCTGCTGTCCCCGAGCAATTTAAAAGGGCATGCAGCCCCCACCACTGGCAGTGCAACAGGGCTAAGGCGCTTCCTGCCCGCCCACTCTGCTTCCGGAAGTGGCCGGAAGGTGCTGGCACGTCCCTGTGGCCCCTGGGGGGGGGGTCTGCACACTGCCCCACCTCGAGCGCCAACTGCGGCCAATGGGAACTGCAGAGGCCGTGCCTGTGGGCAGCGGTGCGTGGAGAGCGATCCGGCCCCCCCACCTAGGTGCTGCTGCCAGAGGGGTGTGCGGGTCACTTTTGGGAGCTGCCTGAGGTAAGCACTGCACCCCTCACCCTCTCCTGCACCCCAAACCCCTGCCCCAGCCCAGAGCCCACACCCAAACGCCCTCTGAGAGCCTGCCCCGTGCACCCCCTCCTGGACCTCAGCCCAGAGCCCGCACCCCACACCCAACTCCCTCCCAGAGCCTGCTCCCGTGCCCCAGTCTAGAGCCTGCACCCAAACTCCCTCACAGAGCCTTAGGCAGGTGGGGGACGAGACTTGGACTTGGACCTGTTCTGGGCACCATCAAAAATTATACAAAGCTGCTGCCCCTGACCTTGATTCAGGAAAACATCCCTATTCAAACAGTGCTTAAGCATCTGTTAAATTGTTGCCAGGGATGGACTTCAGTACATATTTAAGTGCTTTCCTGAATCAGGAGCTACTTGTTGAAAAGTAACAGATGTGTTAATTGAGGGGAAGTCATGTGAAGAAAGGAGAAGGGTTTTTTTTGAGGGGGGGTGTTAATTGAACTTGGTGGAGTTGTGGAACAAGGCTTGTCATACTTAACTAATGCTTCTTTACTCTTTAACTTTACAATTCTGGACCCTTAAAAGATGAAAAGTTTTAGGAGTGCTGCATTACTGCTGTTGCCTTTTTGCCTACCTGGTCTCTTTACCTGTGTGTCTTTTGATATCCATATGTGAATTACAATCCCTGCTACCTGTCCTAGTCAAGTGTGTTTCTATGTTTTGTTCAAGTGCTCATCATAGACATCTCTCTCACGATTTCAGGGGGAGGCTGGCAGAATCCCTCCTGCAACGACTACTCCAAGCATGGTTTGTCTCAAGGAAGCCAGCAGCCCTTTAGCCTTTTGTTTCCCTCAGTTTAACATTCGTCGCATACAGAGCTTCTGGACAGCCTATAATGTCCATATGTTTTCCTGAAGTGTAAATGTGCACACTTCTGTCCACATGGCTCCCTAACCTGAATGATTTTGTGTAGCAGGGGAAATGGGACTTGATTTCATAGGGGTGTGTTACCCGGAGGTGTCTCCTGAGCATCCCTTATACTTCCTAAAGGACTGGAAAGGAAAAGCCCATTGATGCCATCTCAGAAGGTGTGAGTTTCACTCACTTCAGAGAGAGGTTAGCCAAGAGCCTTCCCTTTTACTTTAAAGAGCACCAGGGATATAAAAATTAATATTATAGAATTTTTGAAGCTGAGACCACTAGAAATGTTGTTCATGCTAATCCATGCAATTCTAGATTGCCTGGTGAATCTATGGCTTCTCTTCATACTGCATCGAAACTAGTGGAGTTCAAGCCACCTTGCAGAAGTGAAGCCAGCCACTGCTCCCGCCCTGAGTTGGAGGCAGAAGGCAACTGGCCAAAGCAAACACATTTCTAATGCACCAATAATATGTAGGTGCCACGTACAAAAGTAAGAGTGGCCCCAATTCTGCCACTACAGGACCCTACTCCTCCATCTTGGGCAAGTTTCCTGAATGAGATTGGTTTTGGTAGTTGCCTTCTTCCAGATAGTTACTTCTAGACTGATTTGTGGTGTTTTCCAAGAGTGGGAGTCTGACTGTAGAAGAGTCCACCTGTGGGCAGTGCTTGCTCTACACAAATTGCCATCAGCTCTCCACAGACAATAAGGTTAATGGTGTAGAAGATGACGACCGGAGAATTCACAAATTCTCTCCCTCAGGAGCAACAGCTCATGAGCTTCATTAATGAGGATTTGAAGGTCTCTTGGTATCCACTTCAGACATTCTTTCCTACAGAGGTAGGAGCTGTTGCTCAGGAGTAGAGTCCCATAAAACATACACAGACTGTAAGATTTTGGACACCAATCAGTGCTGCAGCAAGACCTCCTGCAAAGTGGAAGGGATCAACGCAAGATTATTTTGACTAAGGAGAAAGATCATACTTTGCCCACTGAGCGTATTCTACCAACTCTAAAATGATCTTTCCCAGAAGGCCGGAGGGATGAAATTATATTGGCTCAAGGGATCTCAATATAGACAGCACAACACTCTGCTTCTGCCAGTTTGAATAACACAACCATTTGTTTTCCTGTTTAAAGGTTTATTTTGCAAAATAAGAGTATATATTCTTCAGACACCCACTGGACACTGCTTAAAGTGACAGGCAGAAATGAAGACTCCAAGTACCTGAATCTGGCTGATGTTCCAGCTCTGAAGTAATTCATGTAAATTCACTCCTCCTCAGTAAATTGAAACATGGTCTCGTTAAGTGTATGGAGTAACTTTCTACTAGGGCAATGTCCCAAAACCTCACTCCATTATTCTATTAACTTTACACAGCAAGATTATGGGGAGTGAGGGTGAAGGTTACTGCAGACCTGGCAGCTCCTCCTGTGGAAAAAACCCCAGGCTTTTCTCACTCCCCACATGCCCCCTCTCCTTTCTTTGAGATGGCTCTTCGTCCTACCTCACCATTTCATCCCTCTTACAGCATGGAAGCATGGATGCAAAAAACTGCCTACAGGCTACCGGCAACCCACACTGTGCATCAATCTGGCTCCCCTGATAGGTTCAGATTCTGTGGAATTTAAACTTTTGGGAAAAAAGTGGTATGTAGTCTTTTAAGTTTGACAGAAAACCTGCAGGTGCTGGGATGCAGTGCTGTCTTCCTCAGTCTGCAGAAACTGGTAAGGAACAGTACCACAGAGACTGCAGCAGGAAGAGGATCTGCTCCTTACTCTCTCTCAGGAAGACCTGAGGTAAGGAGGAGATAGGAGTGTAGGTCAGAGAAGGATGGCTGTGAATAACTGGTGGGCTCTCAGTTTAAGCCCCCTTAAATTTCAAGCAACTGCACTGCTCAAAGAGGGAAAAGGGCCAAGAGGTACTAGCCCAAATAGAGGCCAACCTTGAGATGGGGAAAGACACGGGCGAGGTGAGGAATAAAACAGCCATTGCAGTGGCCCTAAAGAGGCAATAGCTAATTTTATTAAGGGCCTGAGTGAGGCTACCACCCCCATTTCTCCTTGACCAATGGATTTGCAGTTGCTCAGCACTTCAGGTCATAATACTAATTATTGTGGCCGTCCATAGTCTAACTTCAGTTATCCCAAACTCCCATTGATACGTCTGCTGTGCACTGCAAGTGCGTATAGGGCCCTTCATGACTTCATAGCTCTGCCCCGTGGGCTCTAATTAAAATAAAATTCAGCCCTGTCTCCCTAATGAGTTTGACACTCCTCCCCTTGCTCCCCGGTGCTGCACTTCTTTCAGCTGCTGCATGCTACATTTTGGTGTAACTCACAGAATATTGTTAAATGAGCCTGGAGGCTGTGCTTCCCTTTTGAGTTAATTTGTATGACAATAGCTCCTACAGGCCCCCAGTCATGATCAGGGCCCCATTGTGCTAGGCGCTGTACACACACGCACAGTAAAAAGACAATCCCTGTCTTGAAGAGCTTATAGTGTAAGCTGAAGTGAGGCATTTCTAAGTTTAAAAAAAAAAAAAAAAAAGTGTCTGCTGTCAATGAAAACCAGACATTTAGCAGTAGCTTCAGTCACTTTTTAAGGACAGATCCTGTAACCCCTGCACGCCACCCGTGCTGAGCCCAGCCAATAGCAGTTGAATATATGAGAAAATATTAGGACAATATTAAGGAAACAAGATGAAAATAAACTTGATTCAGCAGAGTGGTGCAGTTGCTTAGTGGCTCTCTTGCTCTCTGGGTGTAGGAACGCACACGGAGCTATTGGTAATCTCATGTGGGGATGTAAATGGTATTCTTGTAGCTGTATTGGTCCCAGGGTTCTAGAGAGAAGGTGGGCGAGGTAATATCTTTTATTGGAGAGTCATGCTGGAGGAGAGCTGTAAAACACATGTTAGGGTGACTAGAACGTGCTTGTAAACCAAGATTATTTTAGCATATTTTGTGGTCCCATGGCCTAGTTTTTGCTTCTGCTAAAAGTCTTGAGGCAGCCATTGGACATTATTCAAACCATCAGCCTGCTTCTGAATTTAATAAGCTTTAGTTCTACTGTATGTAATTGTGTTGGATAATAATGATGGGCTCAGTCAATCCACCCAGCCAATGGAAGTTAACTGGATTCGTCACTTTCTGATATTGGGTAAAACGTTCAAAAGCACCTAAGTCCCATTTTCAAAAGTGATTTAGGAGCTCAAATCTCACT